CTGCTGAAGCTCTTCTTCCACAACCCTCCTCCCCTGAATTATTAATTTTTTTTTTTTACCCTATTTTATTCAGCAGCCACTTCGTTTAACAGATACGAGCGGTCCTTTGAGCAGGGAGCGAATGAGTCCGCAGCTGAACATGCTAACTCCTGTCCCGGAGGTACAACCAGTCTTTACATACACACACACCCACACACACCCCCTGCACCCTAGTGACATCTCTTCTTTCCCCTCTCCCCCTTCCTGGGCAACTCTGCTCCTAATTTGAGTCCAACTAGGAAGTTGCTGACATTGCTGCTGGATTGCACCCAGCCCCCTGCTTCACTCAAGCCTCTGGCTGCTATGAGAGGGGTTGTGCAGTACGACGGTGCCCCAGACGCACACTGAGCGGCTCAGCCATTTCACTACCTCCCCTGGAAAGCGAGGACCCCTTCCTGGGGCTGCTAGGAACAGCACAGTTCACTTTACCCTCCTAGGATCAAGCAGGGCCCTTCCCCTGAGCGGGGAGACCATGCTTACCCTGACAAAGCCAGGCAGACTTTGCACCTAAACTATTAAGGTTTCACGTCTACTTGTAAGAATGGCAGCACAGCGGGATTAATGGCGCTTTTGACCCAGGACATACCAGACCGATGACCTCGGAGTCCCTAGCACAGCAGCAGGCGAAGGAACAGTCGAGAAGCAGCGAGCAGGGAGGACCTGGCTGAAGGAGCTGGGCTCAGCCCAGTGCGTGGTATTTGCTCAGTGCCTGTCACTTTTTTTTATTCTCCCGAACAGTCCCATTTTGCGTTTGCAGGCACGCCTGGGCCTGAGCAGTACAGGTGTTTCCATCTGCACAGCTGCAAACTGTGCTCGTGACAGCCATGCCTCTCAGGCTGGAAAGACCGGGGCTCAGGCAGGTCTGTTTTAATTGCACTAACGCCCTTATTTCTGAGAGGCTTGATGCATCTGTTTACCCTTGTCTTGCTTCTTTCTGTAAATGAGTTTTGAGGGACTTGCAGTTGGCCCTGTCATCCACTTCTCACTCCCCTGGGAAGCCTGACAGCCAAATCAGGTCACTGCCAATTAGCTCAGCCTGCACAAACTGCAAAGTTGTCAACTGCTTTAACTGGGGATGCACTCACCAGCCTCAGTGCTAGCTGTGTTTTCCAACTGCTCATTAAACACAGGTGGGTCCTTAGCAATGCGGGGGCTCTATGTAAACCCTTAATCGCTTAATTAGGTCTGCACTAACGGTGGTGCTCCAGTTCAAGTCCTCCTGCTTGAATGGTAACTCAGCAGAAAGCAGCAACGCTGCCTGACCTGAAAGTAAAAAGGGTTTTCCTTCCACGCATGTTGCTTCAGAATCCTTTTCTTTACCACCGCCTTTCTATCTAAGCTCTTCAAATCACTATATAGATATTTTTCAAGTGCCTGCATTTGAAGATCTGAAAGTGACAGAGAGATATTAAAACCACTGCTTCTGAACATATGATAACCTAGGTCATACTATGACTTTTAAATTAAAGAGGCTCCATGTTATCTCCATTAAAAAACTAGTTAAGGGTGTGTACGTTGTTTTGCTGTAGGCTCCGAACCACTGCTTTGGATTTGAATGGAGCAGCGTGTAAAACCAACTATTTTAGCATTCTTTCTTGTTTCTGAAAAATTCTGTTTCAGGAGCTTGTGCTGCAGGACAAAAAAAAAAAAATAATTAAAAAGTGTGAGGGAAAATCATCTTGCATCTCTCACAATCTAGGATTCAACAAGAAAAGCAAAAATATCTCCATTAACTGACTCTTCACATGATACTGAATAGAACAAGAAACTGTCACACAGACTTTGGTGTGCTTGTGCTTTGCACTGTAAGGCTTGTCTGTTTAAACTAGATGAAGGAGTTTATTTTAATTTACTGGAAAACAATCTAATTAGATTCCCAGACTATATATATATATATATATACATATACATATATTTGTGTGCGTGTGTGTGTGTGTGTGTAAACACCCAAAGCAGCATAATGAAAGCAAAACCATATAAAACAGACACAACACCAATAAAATGACTCCCACATCCAAGTGTACTAATCATATATGAACCACATCTTTATACTAACATTTGGTCCAGTTTTCATGGTGGTTAACACAGTACTTGTGTCTCTGAGACCATTGTCCAGTGAGACGCATGTTGCTAGTTTCTTGGACCAACACGCACTCATATTCTCTGGGAACTTAAAGCGACCCCTAAAATCTCCCACGTCTATAGCTCCGCCTTTACTCCCTCAAGCAAGCATCTAGATGTTGCGACACCAGCGCCAACTCCGTAAAGGGAGGGCAAGAGGGGCAGGACTGACACCTGAAGCTCAGCTTCCCTGGGACCATGGTTGCTGGCCACTGACAAGCGAGACATGGGTTTATTTCCCTGCTTTCATCAAAGTATTTCAGATACCAGAATAAGGACTGAAACTGAAATCTAAGAACTAATTTTAAAAAGCATCA